ATTTGGGTGGCGTTATGCAAATCTTCCCACATCGTGACGTAGACATGTGGGGGTGTGTTAGAACGAGCCGTTTTAGGAGGGCGTGGACAAGTCTTAACTTTTATAAAGAATATCTCTTTGGGTACTTTAGTCTTTGCAACTTTAGGGATCTTATCTATTTATCTATCTATCTATAAATTTGAAATTGCATCATAAGACCCCTTTAATAGTCTTGGAATACAGTGCAAGCTGGGTAAGAGCAGCCAGAACATTCTACAACATTTCTCCTTTTGTGTTTTACAGAAGAAAGAAAGTCACGAGAGCAAGTAAACATGATGACAAAACTTTCATTTTTGGATGAACTATTCCTTTCCCACAATCTGTTTTACGTAATGGTGTAATACTTAGGAATTAGACAGCAGTCATCTCACCCATTTGGCACTCCTTTATTAATTCTCATCCAGGCATGTTAAACCCTTATTATTATTCCTTCTTGTAACACATAACATTCCCTAAATTGATTATTCTTTTCTCTATTTCTCTCACCCCCTCTCTCCTCTTGTGTGCACCGTAACCCCTCTATTAACCCCACACTTGTCCTCACACCCCTCCTTGTTTGCGTGCATCTGAATGTGTGTTTGCAGTTTAGAGATGGCTAAACTGAGCATCCAGGCTGCGTCATCCTCCTCTTCCAGCACACCTATCGACCTCAGCCTGGGCTTCTCCCAGTACACCCCCTCCGTCTCCGCCTCCACCGCCTCTTCCATGGCCGTCCTGGCTGCTCCCCCCTCTGCTATTAACGTCCACTCCCCCTCGTCCGTCCCCTCCATCCCCAGTGCCCACTACGCATTTCCTGTTTCCAGCCTGCTTGGCATGAAAACCGTCCCCCTGCTGGCAGTGCACACAGCCACCTCCGCAGGCCTCCCGGCCGGCTTCACCCCCTACACCGCAAAGTTCCCCACCTCGTCCAGCATCAAAAAATCTGAGCGGCAGAAGTTTGCCCCGTACTGAGCGGCCGTGGTCTTTAAACATCAGTAATGTTGTATTTGTTTATTATTCATTCATGAATATTAAGTAGATTGAATGTGTTTCTCCCCACCCCATATTTTTTATGTTTCTGTGCAATATTTTACAAACAAAGAATAGTGAGAGCATGACAAGATTAATCACTCCTTATATTGTCTTCCATTTTGTGTGGCGTTTCATTCAGAAGTGTTTGAGATATTCATCTCGCACCATATAATTTATCTGACACGGCACCTGTTTTTTTTATTAATTTTTTTTAAAGAAGAGCCAAAAGCCAGCAAGAACTTGATTTATTGGTACTATGCAGCTCACAGCATTTTATATATATATATATATATATATATATATATATATATCTTGGCGTGATCTTTAATGTGCTGATTAGAATGGCTGTCATCATTGTTATTGTATCACAACACAATATACAAAGTCATTTAAAAGAAAGTGTCATGCTCTGCCTCTCATACTGATGTTGTTATTCAGACTTTGACCTACTTTATTAATATAACATTTATATCAGAACGTTTTTTTTTTCGGCAAATACACTTTTTAATTAATACTGCAGAGACACAAGCCACAGCCTAGTCAGAGAGGGTCCTTGCCCTGTAATAAGGGGGCCTGTTAGGTCCTTAATAATATGATGAGGATCCCTCATACTAAAATATATTTAGTAGCTCTATATTATCATGTATTAAAACCTATTTATTAAAAATGATGAAGAAGTTGAAAAAGTATAACATTACATTGTTTCCAAAATTAAATAATTGGCTTTTATAGTGTCACTGTATTACAGCAAAAAATTCTGGAAAATATTTACATTGTATTAGGATCACAGTGAATATTTTTTTTTTTCTCTACCTACTACTCTATTACTGTTAGATGTCTAAACCTGAGAAACATTTTAATTTAAAATTATGTGTATGGTTATTTTCACAATGAATATTGTTACAACAGCAATTAAAAATATTTATTTAAAGCTGCAGTCCGTAAGTTTTGCCTCTTTGTCGCCATCTCTGTTTGAAAACCTGGAATTGCAGATGTGTGCGGAATTATCTAGCTTGCGTGGGTTGTGGATATTTACTGTACTTCGCAATCACAGATTCTAGCCTACGTCTTGGAATATGACCCAAATAAGAATTTTCACCATATATTGCCATCTGCAATGTAACAAGTAACAAGTCTGCCACGTTTGTTCTGACCAACTGAGGAAAAAAGCATTACCATAAATCTTGCTACCAATGGTGATTAAATCTAAAGATCGGTTAGCTCATATCACATCAAACCTTTCAAATTATTATTATTGTTATTTTTTATTCTCAAATGATTAATGATAACAACATCAGCATTGGTGACTATGAGTATAGTGTGTATTAGCGTGTAGATTTCAATTTCTGCTTAGTCTAATCTAGTTGTCATACTCTTCGAATTTCATATTAAGAAATTCTTTTAACCCAAAAAGCAAATTATGCTCCCTTCGAACTGGTTTTCTTTAAAATACAAATCTTTGTAATCCCAGGCTATCTGTAATCAGAAGCACATTTTTAACTGGAATATAATTTAATTTAATTCACATGTGTTTCATAAACACATAACCCTTTATGGATTACAATTCGCCATCAAAATGATACATTTAATTATTCTGGCTGCTGTGAGAAAAGGCTATAAACGATCGGCCACCTGCAGGATCCTCACATGCGATAGCCTAGTAACCGGGACAACTTTATGTTTACAGACGTGATGTAATGATGCAGTGCCATGCTCAAATTTCCCGTGAAAACCTATCCATACCCATGAAAATTGCTTGGATGTTGGTTGAAGTGCTTGAAAGTGCTTGAAAATGCAGTTGCATTGGATCCATAATAATACGCTTTCTTGATGAATAGTTCATTTTTACATAAAATAAGCGTAGCTCCGCTCGACTCTTCGTGTGTGGCTATAGTGTAATCTGCCGGTCTTTATTGACGCGCCCTCTGATGGAACAGAGCAGAAGATAAAAAACGTGCCATTAGGTTGCCGCTTCAGCCAGCATTGGCTTGAAAACGACAAATACAAATTATGGTTAAAACAAGGACGAAATACTTGAGTAGCCTCCTGTAAAGTCTGTTTTTTTTTT